AATAATAATATTATATATATATATATATATATATATATATATATATATATATATATATAAATAAAACCAAGCCTTTCATTTAAGTTTACAGTTTAGTTCAATTTTAAGCTCAAGAGCGAAGACAGAAATTGTCACATTAAACTGCTGTTTTTGGTTTAAGAAGCTAACATTACAAAAAATAAATGCCACAAATGTACTTATAGAATATTTAAAAATAAGTGACATGTGTGCAATCCTTTTGATGCATCCTGAAGGATCAACTCATCCTCTTTTAACCACAAAGACTTCAAAGAACAGCATGTCCGTACAGATGCTTTTAGGCCTGCGCGTGTCTTACATAACCAATCACTCAACGGAGTCGCACAAGTGTGTTTACAAAGTACCAGGAGGGGGCCCGCCGGACCTCTCCAGCCCTGCCGCGTGCCCGGACACGCTTGGCATATTGGAAACAGGCCTTCACACATACTGGCAAACGGCACCATGGGAGAAACACTCGCCAAGCTCTCAGTGTCAGTCCCTGACCATCAACCAGCAGCCGACTAAGGCACACTGCCACGGCGAGCTCTTGACAGAAGGACCGTTGTTTCTGAGGAGAAGGGCCTGAAGTGTGTGTGTGTATAAGCATACAGGAGAGTGTTGCTTCTCGGAAGCTGAGATACCATCGCAACTCTCTATTCTTATCAGCTTCAAAGACCCATTGAGTCTTAAAAAGGATGAAAGGAGAATGAGTAATTCAGCTAGCATGTAACTTTTCAACTGTGCACAATAAGAGCTCAACAAATACAGACACTGTGTAATGAGCGTGATTCTTTAATTTCTGTTCAGTTTAAATCAGATGTGAATTAATGTAGCTGAATATTGCGAAGGGCTTTCTGCTAGGACAGAAGAGACTCAGGCTATTGCTCATTCAATCATTTACAGCTCATTCACAGGTAAATGACACAACTGGGCCAAATCACACATGAACGAGACGGGAGAGACAAACGCTCACAAAGAGATGTTAAAAGAGACTGAA